TCGATGCCCCCGAGACTCGAAGCGGGCACTCGCATCCCAAACTGTGCACATCAGAGGAGGGGGCGAGCCGAGGCAAAGGTATAGTTGGCCCTCGGGGGGCCCCCTCGTCGCCTGCGGCTGTACGTATAGCTCGCAAAACGGGTGCGCTTGGACCCCGGGGATGGGGTCCGGGGGCCGATTCTCAGTTGCTTTGCCTCAACCCAGACATGATCGCGTCGTGGAAAAAATCAAGACGGCGAGTTTCTCATTATTCAATCGCTTCGCTCATTCCGCCGGCCCATATTGCGCACCGCGGTCGACGGGCTGAGAGGTCGTCGGCAGTGCGGAGCTGCAGGGGGCAGCGGCTTGTTTTTCTGAGGCGTTGTGTTCGGCATGTTTGTGTCGAAGCGGCCCCCGTGGAACACGGCTCAGTCCCGCTTAATCCGGCTTAGCCCCGCTGAATCCGCGGCCTCATCCGCCGCAGCAACCCCCCAATGGAGCTTCATTCTCCCTGGCCCTCCCGACGCAGACCTCCCAGCAGTTGCCTCCTGAGGCTGGGACTGCGTCACCCCCCAGTCGCCCCTGATCGCCGAGAGGGGGCATGACAACCCACCCCCGCCGGTCACCACCCACCAAACCACCCCAACCCAACACGAAGGCCTCAATTTGCCCTCCATTTCCAGTGGGGAGGGGTCGGGGAACATTGACAAAAACACAGATGGAACCCACCCCCCCAAACCCGAAATTCGGGTCTTCGGGTTGGGCTGGGGTGGTCTGGTAGGTAGTCAGCCGAGGGGCGGATTCGCGAGCGAGGCCATGCCGGCGATCGATTGGCGACGCATCGCCGACTCCAGCGCGGCGCGTCCTCCCCGAGCCCGTCCTCCCCATAGCGGGAAGTCGGGCACTCTCTTCGTCAGGGGGGATGCTCCAGGGTAGTCGAGATAGACGAGGGGGGCGATTTTCATATGTTTTTGTTTTTTTTTCGTCTGAGATCTTCTCAGTACTTCTTCCCAACTCCCCCTGCAGGAGGACATGCCCGACCCGACCTCGGCGTTGCCCCTCAGTGGTCCCCTGTCACCTCCTGGCTCGCCGGGAGGCGCTTGGCGCCGAGCTGGGAGACGCAGTCATGTACATCGAGCTGCCGGACCAGGAGACCGCAAAGAGGAGAAACAAAGGATTTGTCCTCCGCTCTCGGGCTCCGCTCGTTCACGTGCTGGCTTCATTCATCGCTGCTCAACGTCGGGTGTGGAGCGGCCATGGCGATGCCCTGAGCCTTTGTGCAAGTAGTATTCGTCGAAGATCAGATCTGGCAGTGTTCCTCAGACACGTGTCGCCTCAGTGGGGCCCAGTACGACTTAGCAATCGCGGCAATATTTATCGGACAGCAGCGGGGTTGATCCATATTGGTCTGACGCTTCGCGTATCCCCACCAGATTGTGTTCGTTGGTTGTCCACCTGTGGCAGCTTCTCTTCCGCTGGCATCCGTTCAGTGTTTTTGCAGGGTAATCTTCTGGCATCGTCCTTTGCCGTGCACTTGCTACAGCGGCCTACGTGCCTCTGCAGCCAATCATCTCGCTCTGTGCCCCAGAACGTTATTCCCGCTCGCTGGATCTGTCCTTCGGGCCGCCGAACAAAAAAGTATCCCCACCAGACTGGACCGGGGCCTGCCTGGCCCACGGGCTCGGGGCCTCTCCTGGACCACCGGCCCGGGGCCTCTCCTGGACCACGGGCCCGGGGACGCTTCGCAGAGGCCTGCCTGGACCACGGGCTCGGGGCCTCTCCCGGGGGCTCAAGGCACTCTCGCATCCCTGCACTGGCAGCCAAGGGCCGTCCTTCGCCACCCCCCCGTGCACGCTTCGTCTTCGCAGCGCCCCCTGCCACCAGTTGCTGCGCTGAGAGCAGGTGCGTGAAGGGTGTACACTGGCTGCTGCTCCTCCCCGCCCAGCATGACGGCAGGTGGCCAACGTGTTCTGTGACTGCAGTGGGATCTGAGTGTGTGTCCCGCGGGTTCCCCTGGGGCTCTTGCATCCTGGCGCTGCCCTCCCTGGGGTGTCTGCTGCTGGGCTCGGGTCCGCCCTCTGAGGCTCAGGTACTCTTGCATCCCTGTGCTGTCGGTTCAATGGAGGCGGAGGAACCATCCTTTCAATCGTGATCCACAGGCTCCGGCGCATTGCCGGGAGTTGGGGCCCGCGTCGTCATTGGCAGCGCTGGGTTGTAAATGTATCCTAGCGGCGGTGAGCTGCTCCCCCCCGTTCTTCCACGCAGGTGCTCGCGGCGAGTAGCTGCGACCCCCAGGATCTCGTTACGAGTAGCTGCGACCCCCGAGGAGAGTAAGGGTCATCATAGCGGCGATTCGCTTCCCCACCACTCCCAGCGGCGAGTTTCTGCGACCCTCCACGATGTTAATGGTTCCTCGGCGGTCAGCTGCCACCCCCAAGAGGCGGGTCCCGCTGCTGGCTCACTCCAAGTGGGACCTCAGCGGCGTGTTACTGCGACCCCCACGATGTTAATGGTTCCTTGCGGCGGTCAGGTGCACCCCCGTACCGTCCACGCAGGTGCTCTCGGCGAGTGGCAGCTACCCCTGGGCACACCAGGTCACTGGCCCCCCCCCCCCCCAGCTCGGCTGCAGGCCCTGGCCGCGGGGCGTCACGTTGCGTCCCTCGCCGCTCCCCTCTGGCCCGGTGGGTGTCCCCCACCCGTGCCCCCGGGGCTCGCCCGTGGCGGCCGTGCAGGGCTGTGGTCCTCCTCCCACTTGCCCGTGGATCGCGCTGCTCCTGGTCTTCTTGGCCATTCTGGCGTCAGTTTCCACTGCGAGGGGAGGCCTCTGGTGAGGGACCACGCGTGAGCTCACGGGCAGCACCACGCGGCAGTCTGGGGTTCCGGCCACAGCCTCACTTCAGCCAGACCCCCCGTGGCAGGCAGCGCTGACGTCTCCCCCAATGGTCCGTTCCTCACCGGTTGACGGCGGTGCCGCATGCCTTCGGACCTCTTCGCGTCTTGGGCTGTCGCTGGGTCCCATCGGCACTGAGGATTGGGCTTCTAGGGGCCTGGCGTGAGTGGTTCAGCCTCACCAGTACAGCCTGTGGTTTTCCCCCGCGCACTGTCTCGGCAACTAACGGAGCTCTCCGCTTCAGATGCTGGACGCGGTGCGCCTTGGGCTGCCGCTGGCCCCTCCCGGCTGGGTGTCGGATTCGGTGGACAGAGCGCCGAGTGGTTCAGCCTGCCGTGCTCGGCTGCCTTTTGATTTCTTCCGCTCTGTCACGGTACACTGCTCAGCCGCTCGGCTTGTGCAGGTGATTTGGAGTCCGGCGCCGCCCCGGCGACTCACTCCGCTGCCTTCGCACATTACTTTTGCAGCTCGTCTACTTCGGTTCACGCTGCTGCGCCTATGTGCGTTCGCTAGTGCATTTAGTTCATTTAGTTATGTGCATGTGCAGCTGCGAGCGTGTCTTGCAGGTGCGAACTGGCTTGCCGACACTGGCGGCTGTGTTCGCAAATTCGCCCCGTGCCGCATCCCGGACGCTGCTTCCGCTCCCTGACCTTTGCCTTGGAGCCGCCGACCAAAAAAGTATCCCCACCAGAATTCCATGACATTTTGTCTGTGCACGCGCTCGAGCTCGCAGGATACCCCCGCCGTCAGCTCTCCTGCAGCTTCGCGGCTGCTTTGTGAGCGGGCCGGCCGGCCTGTGCCTGCTGTAGCTAATTCGCCTCGCTCGTGTCCCGGACTTTGCTTCTCGCCGCCTGACCTTTGTCACGTGGCCGCGACCGAAAAAATATATCCCCACCGGCCCATCCAGAAACTATGCCCCAGCTAGTTGCTTGGATGAGATTGACGACGGGGGGGGGAGATGAAGATGAAAACGAGGAGGAGCAGGATGAGGATCAGGACCAGGAGGCAGACGAGGAGCGTGGAGGGAGGAGGGGGAGAAAGGGGAAAGGAGGAGGCTGAGGAGGCGGAGGAGGAGGGGGAAGAGGCCTGGCAGATTTGTTCTGTTGTGGGAGCCTCCGTGAAACGGCTCTTGGGCCTTGTGGGTCTTCTTGGGGCTCTCTTGGAGGTCTCTTGGGGTTCTCTCGGGACCCTCTCGAGCCAATGCCCGCTCCTGAGACTCTCTCGGGGCCCGTTTGTGATTGTTCGGGAGAGTCTCGGGGCTCTCGTGGGGCTCTTTGTGTGTGTGTGTGTGTCTGTGTGTGTGCGTGTCTGTGTGTGTGCGTGTGTGTGTGTGTGTGTGCGTGTGTGTGTGTGTGTGTGTGTGTTGGCCTTGTCTTGAGGCGATATTGGGAACCATGGCTCGAAAAAAAGAGGGGCCTACCTCGCCTCCATCCCCCTGCGCCCCTTCATGGGGCAGAAATGCGACCTCTTGGACCGGCCTTGGAAACCCCTTTGGGGCGGCTTCGTAGGCAGTCTTGGGGCCCTCTTGGCATCATCTTGGGACTCTCTGGGGTCACCGTTGGCCTATCCGACGGCCTCAGAGGCCCATCGGAGGCGAAAAATCGAGAAAGGACAAATCATGTGGGGGCTGCTTGTCAGATTTCTTGCCGAGAAACTCTGATTTCTTGTCAGGTGTTTGCCTCTGTGGGAGCTGCCTGTGGGACTCCGAACGCACTTGGAGCCGTGTTGTGGCCGTCTTGGGCCGCCTCGAAGGCATTTCGAACGCTATCATGCACCATTGTCGGCTAAACTGTGTCGTCTCGGTGGCCATCTTGGGCCGTCGGAGGCTGTCATGGAGCCATGCGTGGCCATCCTATAGACGCTCTCAGTATCCCCTCGCCCCCCCACACCCGTCCAGACCTAGGGTAGGCGGCAGGGGGGAACGAACAACGACGTAAACATAAAACATAACTCGGACTTCAGAGTTCTGGTGTTTATGTAATTTTTCGCTCCCCTAAGGCAGGGGGAGGGGCCAAACTACCCACGTGCCGCAAGCCGCATCCCTCACTCCCACCCGCCTCCTCCTCTTCCTCCTCCTCTTTTTCCACATCCCTCTCCTCCTCCTCCTCCTCCTCTTCCTCCTCCTCCAAGAATGTGTTCGAGCATGTGCTCGTGCATCTCACCACTCACTTGCAGCCCACCTACCACGTTCGTCTCCACGGAGGCCGCAGGGTCCGCCTCGGGGCTGGTGCGACCACGCGCCAAGATGTTATTGCAAGAATCAGCAGGACCAGCGCAGAAACAGCCCAAGACGGGGGAGGTGGAGGATCTCATCGACGACGCCTCGTCGATTGGGGAGGCCCCCAGCAAGAACGACAAGAATCCGACGAGGGACGCCTTGCTGGTGCAGCTCGGGGCCAGGGTCAGGAGGCTCGAGCACGCCGCCTTCAGCACCGCGACAGGGGCCATAGGCAAGTCTTTCCAGGACTATCTCAAGCAGCGCAAGAACGACCAGAACAAATGCCAGGAGCTCGCGGGCCCCGCATCCCAAGCCCTTTTTCGCAAGTCTAGCCGTGGTCGCCCGCTTCAAGTTCAAGAATACTTCGTTAAGGACGCAAGCGGTCCCAGCAGGCTGCAGAAGGCTCGCGCTCATGATGCAGAGATCCTCGCCCCTGGAAGTGGCAGCATGGGTGCGACGGCTCGTGGCCCTCCCGACACACGAAAAGCCGAGCACGGAGCAAACGTCTCGCATTACGCCCGCGCTGCACGGCAACATCTTGCTCCCGTGCGAGGACGAGGTCGCGGCAGAGCTCGAGCAGAAGCTAAAGGACGCGGTCGCGGCCAATACCAATTAGAAACATATGATGGCGAGCCCGACCGTTGTCCCGTCAGAGATTCTGCAAGTCCAGACGTCTGGATTGCAGTCGAGCAGATGATTTGCGAGGCAATCGGAGGCATGGGGGAAATGCGAAGATTAACCTAATCCCGATTAACAGCATGAACCGCCAGTTGGGCGGTGGCAAGCGTCGTGGAGGCAAGAGGTGCTTCTGAGTCCCTGCGGCCACGCCCCCGTGCTGGGTCTGCAATGTGCCAGGCCATCAGCCTGTTGCCCGCCGCCGCCTCGCCGCCGCCGCTTCTTTCTTTCTTGTGCAGTGAAGCAGGCAGCAGCAGCAGCAGCAGCAGAGTGTAGAATTTTCCAGGCGTTGCAGGTAGCAGCATGGTTGCCGAATGGTGATTTGGGGAAGCGGGCGTGCTGCAACGTCTACCGTGCCCCAGCCCGAGCCCGTGTTTCCAGAGCTTCAGAAGGGTGTCTTGAAGGGCTTGAGAACTGAACTGAACTCCTCCTCCTCCTCCTCCTCCTCCTCCTCCTCCTCCTCCTCCCCCTCCTCCCCCTCCTCCCCCTCCTCCTCGTTTAGCGCCAGGGCCTCGCTCGTGCGATCGCCAACGAGGACGCCACCAACGCATTCGCCGTTGTAAAAAGAGGCAGAATCCACGACGCGATCGGCTCCCTCTACCACCCCGAGGATGCCAACCCTCAGCGCTCTCGCACCATCCAGGGGTGCCTTGCAGGTAGACCCCCACGAGGGCCCGATTTGGCTCCGTCCTCCGTCTGGGGGATCTCATGGGCCACCCTAGCCCTGCTCGGGTTGCGCCTTACTTCTACCAAAGGGGGATTGAGAATTTTCTGGCGGCGAGAGCAGGTACCAGTTCCAAAGGGCTCTCGGAAGTTGGGGAGGTGATGGGGGAGACCACGGACGTAGGGATAACGACTTACGCCGATGGCATCACAAAGAAGATCGTCTTGGAGCCAGATCTCGCGATGCCGACCCCCTCGCGAAGGCCACCCACGTGCTCGAGGAGGCCCCCCAAAGCAGCTCGAACTTGGCGAGGGCCCTCGGGGACATCGGGGTCTCTCTGAACCCAGTTAAGCGGATATCCCCGGTCCGAGTCTTCGGGGCGGGCTGCATCGCCCAGGGGATGCTCATCCACGGCGGTTCGATCCCATATGCAGGATCTTTCGGGCGACACATGCGTATTCTGGGAGGCTGGCCCACTACTTCGGGCTCCTTGGCCGTCGAGAAATCGAAACGACTTCTGGCAGGTAGGGCAGGTCTGGGCCACATCGCCAACTTCCTGGTTCACGAGGCCACTTGGGGTATCAAGCGGGCGGCGATCCTGTCTTTCGTGCAAGGGGCGCTTCTCTCGGGCTTGGAGGGCAGGGCCCTCGACTCCCAGCTCCATCAGATGTCGGACAGAATCCCCCAGTGGGCGATGCGTAGAGCTGCAGGCAGGCAGGGGCTCCCCGAGAGGGAGAGCGGCGAGCTGAGACGGCGGTCAGCTGACAGACGCGCAGACACTGGCGTATCCGACCCGTGGCAGTTGAGGCTCGGATCCATCGCATTCGCCGGTGCCAGAGCTGGTGTAAATACCCGAGTGGCCATCGACAGGTGAGGGATTGCGTCCTCGGCAGCTGGGGCGACGGAGACTCCGTGATTGAACGGCGCACCTGGGCCCGCCGTGCCCTGGGCCCGGCAGCTCTTGGTAGACCTCTGTTGCGCTTTCGAGTGTTTCGAGGAGCTCCGAGATTTGACCCCGTCAGATTCCCCGTTCTCGAAACTATTGTGCGCAGATGAACGCAGGGTTGGCCTGCGTCGACTTTACCCGCCTTCGATCTGTTTACTTCAGCGCTGATATCGCGCCACTGGGGTGCGCCACCGAACCCAGGGTCACCAGGGGGGGGCGCTGGAGGTAGAAGAGGGGGGCACTGGGAGGGGCAAGATGCGCAGGATGAAGGGCGAAGAGGGAAGGACCTTCAGGGCGCGCTCCGCGACCACGGAGGCCTTGCTCCTACGCGCCGGCGGGGCCCATGGAGTTTGCGACGAGGCAGCGGCGCGCGCGATCGCAAATCAATGTTTCAGGCGCCTGCAGGCTTTGAGCGCGAGGAAGAATGCGCAGAGGCACGCGATGAGAAGCTTTGCTACCAGATGTTGCAGAATTGGACGGAGCACGTATTTTCTGCGCGAGGTTCGAGCCCCCGACCCACCCGCATGTCCTGCATGTAGCTTCTCTTCTCAAGCGCTTCTGGCGCTTCAACTACGCGTGCGAACTCATTGCTCTCAGCCCGAGAATGCAGTCTCCGACTACCTCGCGCAGATAGACATGTCGGCCTCGCCTCGGCCGCCCCAGTTCCACCGCAAGAAGTCATGGACCTCTCAGCGCTGCTCAGAAGGCGCGAGTCCGAGGGGGCAGGCGGCGAGCTTTCGGACGCTCTTCCGTTTGGCAAGAAGGCCGGAGGAGTGGCCCAGTTGGCCGACGACGCAGATGACGCGTTCCAGGCGGTCGAATGGGCCCTCCGGTCCAAGGACCTTCAGCACGCCATCGACGTCTGTGTGAAGATGGCGTACCAGCGCGCGCAGCAGCTGAGGGACCTAGCGGCCTCGGGGTGGCCCAGCGCGGCGCCCCCCGCGAAGTCGGCCGCGGTTGAGGCGGGACGCGCAGCAGACAAGCAGTACCCCGAAGCGGTCTTGATCGCGGAGGTGAAACCGTTCTTGGGCCCACCACATTTGCACATCGCGCGAGCCGCTTTCAAGTCTCTGGCGGAGTCGGACACCATTCGGACACAGGTGCCAGAGGCGCACAGCCTCCTGTGTAAATGCTACGAGCAGCTCATCTTGAAGTCGGGAGCGAAGGCGCTTGGCTTGATGAGGCGCCGCTTCCGTCTCAACAAGGTGCTGCAAGGCAGATTGCACCATATTGCAGTTCTCGGCAGCGGATCAGATCACGCCGCGCGGCAGGCCTGGAAGTGTTGCACAGTTTGGGATTCGGGCCACACGGCTTCAGGAGCTGTCGGGCGGGATCCCCATTTTGAGAGGGCTCTGCTTTCCCTCCGCGTAACGGTTTGCTTCGCTTGGGAGGATCGCGCGCGGTGCTAAGTCGAGGGCCCCATTTTGAGACGAAGCCGTTTTGTTTTTCAATTGCTGGGAAGTTGTAAAGCGACTGTGCGCAGCGCCGTGGCGAGAACCCCGTTGTGACACGGCAGCGCCATCCTCAATGTAGCTTCAAGACTTACCTGGCGCCAAGGCGAGAGCCGTGACAAGGCATCCCGTTCCACCAGTGCAAACTATGAGGGATTCAAAGCTCAAGGAGTGGAAGAGGTGAGGGAGTCTCAAGCGAAACGCCTGGCCAGCACCCCCTTGCTGACACACCCGATGGCCTGTCAGAGAGGAGTTGCTCACATGCGAAAAAGGGACGGAGGACGAGAGATGGGAGATGGGCACGAGGAGGAGGAAGGGACGCAGCAGGAGAAGGTGGAGAAAGAAGGAGCATCACCAGCAGCAAGATGATAATGCAAGGGAGGAGGGTTGGCGACGGCGCGTGGGAAGGAAGGGGAGCGGGGGAGGAGGAGTTGGGGAGGGGGAGGGTCGCCTCGAAGTGCTCCGCTGAGACCGCGTTCAGTAGTTTCCGGCTCACCGTTGGCTGTCAAGCGGCCGCTGCAGTGCATGTTCGCTGCATCCAGGCCGCAAGGGAAGCTACAACACATGCCGTGCCCGCTCGCGGCCCCCCCTTGCCAGATATAAAAAACGTGCGTCCACCGTTCGATCGTCAGGATCAAATGAAGGATGAGAGGGGGCACAACCGTGCGTGCGGGCGGAGGATATCGGGGAGCAGTGATGCTTGTCTGATGGTTGCGCGCCCCTGAAGCAGCATCGCCAGCGCTCACCCCCGCTCCAGCGAGGAGATCAGCGTGGCCCACCATATGACCAGCTACAGCAGTTGCTTCGTGGCCCGCGACCTTCCACATCTTGACGTGGGGCGCGTCAGTGCGATCGCCTCGGCAGGGGGACGGGGAGGCAGGCGGGCAGGTAGAAGGCAGACAGGGACGAGGAAGACGAGGAAGGGCGGGGAACCAGAAACAAGAACGGCGACTGAACCGGACACAAAAGGGCGACCCAAGGTAGAGGTGCCCATGGCCCAAGGTGTCCCTAGCTTCCCGCTTCACTCTGGAGCCCCTTGGGCCCCCTGGGCCTCGTGAGGGGTGCTCGGGAGGCCGTTGGGGCCTCCTTGGGAATCCTATGGGCACCTGGGCCAGGGGCACGTCTAGCAACACCCGAAGCACATGGGGGTTGGAGTCCGACACGAATGTATGCTTATGATGTTCCGACCTACTTCAGCCTTGATCACCAGAAAGAGTTTCGAGCACCAGGACAGTACCGAAACTGGTGGGTTTTCACCTCGCTCTGGGACCCCCAGATGATCGGGGCCTCGGGAGGCGAAGGCGGTCCCCTCTCCAGCGTCCCCGACGGAGAGGCAGCGGCACCCGTGTGACAGGCCGCCCCCCGGCGGGCCTTGTCGTTCACCCCCCCCCATGGAGACGGTCTGCGCGCGTGCCCCATTCCCGCACGGGTGTCGCCTTCGCACGAGGGCACCCCTGCAGCAGAATTGCTTGTCTCCCCGAGGTCGTCTGGGGGGCGATGTAGAAATCCCCCCTGGCGGTCATTAGATTGACGACAATGCGCCCACGGCGCGTATTATTTGGGTGTCCGACACCGCTTGGCGCATGCCTCGGCTACTTGAGGGTGTCGAGTTCCTCCAAACAACATATGTTTTGTTCAGAGTGATTATTGCGGGGGCTGATGTTTTAATCGGAAGCGCCCGCCGAAAGGCCAGCCTGTGCAAACCAGTACGGGCGCCGCTGAACATCAGTGGGTGGTGGGCCAGCTCAAGCGGCGTTTGAGACGCTTCGCCAGGCCACACCTCGTGTTAGTTGTCTTGCGCTCCGGGGCCCCTTGGGGCCTCGTCAGGTGTCCTCCTGAGGCCGTGGGGGCCTCCCTGGAAATCATAGGGCGACGAGATCTATACATATCCACTGCTCCTGGCCAGGCCCATCCTGGGCCCAGGAGCGGTGTATACGCCCTCCTGGCCTGGCCAGGGAGGCATATACACAGCTCCTGGGCCCAGGATGGGCCTGGCCAGGATCAGTGGATATGTATAGATCTCGTCGCCCTAAATCATGGGGGCACCTTGGCCCCGGGGCACTCCCGGCAACCCTCGAGGAGGGCGGGCCCCGCAGGGCCTCGCAGCGGCTTCCATGGGGCCTCGGGTTGTCGGCTGCGTGCCGGCCGTGGCCGTGCGGCCTCCGTGGCCGCGCCAGGCGGGGGGGGACGCTCGGCCGAGCGGCAGGTGTGCGCCATGGCGGGCAGCTCCTTTGTTCGCTGATGGGACTGATTTCCACCACCACTACCATATGTTGGAGAAGGAGGAGGAGGAGAAAGAAGAGGAGGAGGAGGGCCTCTCCCTCCAACCTGTGGTAGTGGTGGTGGAAACCAAGCCCATCATTCGCAGGCGGCTTTTCTCCCCGAAGCCCCCCCAAGTCAGGCCGCTCAGAGAAACGGGGGGGGGGGACTGGGAGTCGCACCCTCGAGGGGCTATATTCGGACGAACCGCTGTCGAGGACGAACTCAGGAGGAAAAGAAACACACGGACACAATTAATCGTCGATCCCCCAGAAAATATGGGAAAATATGGGAATTCGGTGGGAAGACAAAAACCCAGAAAATATAGGAAAAAATGGGGAATCATTTTATTTGTGTGTATTTATTTGTGTGTCCCAGGGCCCCTTCACGAACGCCCCCCCCCTCGTCGTAGGTTCCAGAGCTCTTGGCCCAAGGATGCTTGCTCGGTCGATGGTGACAGGAAGACGGGGGATGGGGCCGCCATTCCCGCAATGGTGTAGGGTACAGCGAGCGGCTTGAATAAGGAACGCTTACTTTTCAGAAGGGGCTCGGCCGTTCTTTAGGCTTGCATGCGTGATTTACCGCTCCTGGTGCGTCATGTATTATTGATCGTTCCTTACTGCCGATGTATGCGTTACTCCCTGGGAAAAAAAGGGGCTTCGTTCCTCATTTATCGTTCCTTAGGTCAGGCCGATGGTTGTACTGGCATGTCAGGAAGGGCTCCGCCTTCGAGGGCCGCAGGAGTTGGCACTCCTGCCTCGGCAGAAGGGCCGCGGGGAGTGCGGCTCCGCCGGCGGAAGGCCGGCGGAAGGCAGAGCTGCGGTTCGGGAGCGCAGTGCTGCGAAAGGGGAAGTACACCTTAGGCGATGCTTAAGCAAACTTAAGTTTTCGGCCAGAGTCTCGATTATTCTTAATTTTTCAATGGGTATCCCAAGACTTTAATGGAAATGTTGGGTTTTTATTCAAGTTCTGAGACTATGAATTTCTTAACCCATGATTTCTTAAGCATTTCGCAGGGTGTGCAGTCGGGGCGCTGGAGAAGGAACCCTTTTCGTTGGGGAGGGGCTCGGCGTTCCTTGATCGTTTCACAGTTTGCCTCGGGTTTTCCTCTGGTTTTCGATGGGAGATCGGAGTTCAGCTTGTGGGAAAATGGGGCCTCGTTCCTCATTCAGGGTTCCTTAGGTCAACGCCCCGACGGCAACAGGCGTGCCCTGAAGAGGGGCGCACCTGATGGGATTCCTCCACACGTCTCGGCCAATCGTCTCGTCGGCGCGACCACGAGGCGGCACACGGGTGCGCGCGTGGCGCGTCTCCGAGGGGCTCGGGCGCTCGTGGCAGCAGGCAGGGGCGGGTCGGCAGATTCTACGGCTCCCCATCGCGGAAAGAGAGCCCGCGGCGCGGCATGCGCTCCCCGCTCGAGGGCGGCAGCCCGGAGCTTTGGGCTCGCGCCGCGGTGCGCAGGCGCGGGGGACCGAGCGGGGCCTGTCGGGGGCGGAAAAAGGTGCCCGCGCCGCTTCTCGCTCTCGCCCTTTGGGGCCTTATGGGAGCCTGTCGCCGTCAGGACGCGACACCGGGTCCGCAGAGGGTGGCATTTGGAGGTGGTGCACCGAGCCGTTCCGAGCCCAGGCTTCCGCCGTCGGCAAAGAGCACGGCGTCGGGGTTCTCGGGGGCTCTCGACGTCGCCCTTCATATCGAGTTTGCTGCGCTGGGCGATCTGGGGCCAGGGAATGCCCCCACGTCTCCTGAGGCTTCGATTCGGTCAGGGCTCCCAGGAGGGATTCCAGAGGGTGGACGCGAGGGGAGGTGGAGGGAAAGAGAAGTTGAAGTGGGAGGGAGATGAATCCAGGTGGGGAAGCACAAGGAGGACGCCCCGCCCCCACTCTCCTCCCAACGCCCATACAGCCCCCTCAAGGACTTGTCAAGTCGCCAGCGTCTTCTTTCCAGCCCCCTCCTCGGTCGCATCATCATCACTAGCATCCTCGTCCTCATCCTCCTCCTCCTCCTCCTCCTCCTCCTCCTCCTCCTCATCATCATCAGCGCTAGCGTAGTCGTCATCGTCATATTCATCATCATCATTACCATCGTCATTTCATCATCGTCATCATCCTCATCATCATTATCATCATCATCATGATTAGCATTATCATCATCATTATCATCGTCATCCTCACCAGCATCACCATCATCATATCATCATCATCATCATCATCATCATCATCATCATCATCATCGTTAATACCATCAGCTTATCCTCCTCACAATCGTCAAACGTATTATCATAGTCTTCCTCCGCCCCACGACCACCACCATCACCATTATCATCATCAGCAGCATCATCATTATCAACTACATCATCATAATCGCCATCATGCTCCTCATCACCACCACATGCATCATCATCACCGTAATTACCATCATCGTTACCATGATCGTCATCATCACAACCATCACGATCACCACCATCATCAGCAACAGCAGGATCACCATCATCATTATCATCTCAAGTCTGATCATCATCACCATCAACATCACCATCACCGTCATCATCATCCTCATCCCCACCACAACCTTCGTCATCATCGTCATACTCCTCCTGCTCATCACCACCGTCATTCCAATCATCATCACCACCATCACCATCATCATTTCTACCATCATCATCACCACCCTCACCATTATCACCATCATTTTCATGCAGCAGCACCACCACCATCACCATAACCATCACCATCCTCATTATCATCATCATCATCATCATCATCATCATCATCATCATCATCATCATTATCATCAGCATCATCACCAACACCACCACCGCCATCATTATCAACAACATCATACTTATCCTCATCCTCATCATCATCAACAACATCATCATCATCCCTCTAGCTTCCTGCTAATACCAGTGTGGAGTCTCAGGGAGGAGGAGACAGGGGCCAACGGCAGAAGGAGACGGATGGTGACACTCCGAACATATGATTCTAGCTGTCCCGCCTTATCCCCTCCTCCAGCATCTGCGCGGGCACACCACGCTGCGGAGGCTTAGCAGGAAACGTGCTCCGGTCGGGCCTTTACCTCGACTGAATGTTTGGACTTGCCGTTGATTCCGTGGAGGACTTTACCACTGGAGCTGGCCTCATGCTTTGGGTGCGCCGCCTGTGGTATCGAGCTGCTCGTTTTTGAGCCGTTTAGAAGTCCAGTCTTATTCTTGACGCTTCACGTAGCCCCATCAGCCGCTGCCCCCCCCCGCCGCCTGATCCGCGGCCCCCGCGCGCGCCCGGGAATTTAGTCGCGGCCGCAGCCCGACCGTGACCGCCCGCCGTCGGCGCTATCGCCTGCGGCTGTAAAAAAAAAGTAGCCCCATCAGCTCGCCCTTCTGAGCTGACGCCCTGCTGCGCCTGTCTTGCTTTTCCGCTTTCCGTCTCCGCTGCCTAGTCGTGGCCCGGCTAGAGTTTGGACGCCTTTTGACCCGCTTCACGAGGCCGCTGACCAAAAAGTAGCCCCATCAGCCCATCCAGAGACGATGCCCAGAGGAGTTGCCTCGATCAGGGAAGTGGGCAGCACACAGAGGAAGGGTCCCTCTTTGAGCGCTCTTGGGGTTCTCGGGAGCGCTCTTCGGGCCATGAAGGAGGAGATCGATCAAACAAGATAGGGGCTCTAATTACGCTCCCCCCTCGGGAACCCAAACGTCGCCTCTTGGGCCCCTCTTTGGGCGCTCTTGGAGTGCTCTTGGGCGCTCTTGAGGCCGTCTTGGGGCTCTTCTGGGCCTCTCTTGGAACCCTTATGCGCCCTCTTGGAGGTGCCTTGAGGCCCCGCATGTCCATCGGAAGCGAAATGGCGAGAGGGCAGTATTCATTGATTTCCCGGGTTTTGTTGAAAAAAATTGGCATTTGGCGGCCTTTGGGGAGGAGTGTAAGAAGAAACGCGCTAGACCACCTACGCCCAGAAGGCTGGTGGGATTATCAGAGTCGCTGGGCCAGCTCATCCTTTGGTAACAGCAGGTTTGGGAAGTCAATCAAATTCAGCATCGGCGCTGGAATTAGCGGTGGTCGAAGACCGGCCAAATCTGGTAGAGTCCCGCCTACCTCCGTCAAGTCTCTCTTCATCCAGCTTAGTACTGGGGTGAAAATTTGTTTGAGTGGTGCCTTGATTGGGCTTGAGAGCACGTGAGCGTTCTGACGAAGACCTCCCAGGACCCAGAGATCCGATGTCGTGATTTTCTCCATGCGGGGTCCCCAGAAGTCTCGACCCATTCCCAAGGACCGGCTTCTCGTCCTGAGTCGTGTTCCTTGACGGCCCCGAGGCCTGGCGAGGGCCCCTACGAGGCCGACAGCAGCGACGAACCTCCGCCCTCACAGTTTTGCCCACACGCTGGACCTCTCCGGGGCGTTGCCTCCTCGAGCAGGCTGCCTGTTGCCCTGCCGTCGGTTTCGGCGGAAGCCCCTCCTCGGCGGCCCGAGCTTCACGGGCAAATTTCCAGCCTCGAACGTATCCCGATCCCTAAGACTGACACGCCAAGAGGCGATGACAATCTCAGGGATCCGCCCTCAAGACATGAGGGAATCCCTAAGATTGGCATCGTGATGAGGAGGTGCCCAGCACAGGGATAGGGACATGTTCCAGGCCAGCCCGCCGCCTGCCCAGGCCCTGCAGACGTCCGGCTGCGCTCCAAGGCTTACACGCGACTTGGAGCAGCCCCCGAGGTCCGGACCGCTTCCCCGCGACCGGTATTATTCGTCCTGAATCGTGGCGCTCCCGAGGCCCGGCGAGGCTGGTAATGTTGCCCTGCCGCCGGTTTCGGCGGGAGCCCCTCCTCGGCGGCCCGAGCTTCACGGGCCAAGCCTGCCCGCGCGGCAGCGCGGCGAGCGCCCTGGGGCCAGCCTCCCGCCTCTGCGGGTTGCGCCCGGCCAGGGCGTGCCCCCGCGGATCGGTCGTGCCTTTCCTCGGCCGCGGCGTTCGCGGGGCCCCATCGGGTCACGAGAAGCACGTGCTCCTGCTGCCTGCCTGCTGCTCCTTTGCCGCCTCCCTCCCCCCCTCTCCTCCTGCTTGGGTTTGCCTGCTCGCCGCGTGTTTCCTCCGCCTCCTCCTCGCCCGCCTCCCCCTCGCCGGTCAGCACAGCCTGCCCGGATGCAGCGTGGCGGCGCGCAGGTCTGCAAAGCAGGCAAGCTGCGATTTACCCGCCCATTCGACGAACTGTGTGCCTCTATTGAGATCGATCGTTGCGCCTGGCAGCGCAGGCCTGAAAAGAACATGACGGGAGATCCCCAATTTTCGGCCTCGGGGGGCCCTCGCTGGGCCTCGGGACCGTCAACAAAGCTACTCGGGATGAGAAGCCGGTCCTGGGGAAGGGGTCCAGACCTCTGGGGGTCGACGTCCTGACAAAAAGCATTACGTCGGGGGTCTGGGTTCGCTGGTCTCCCACAGCAGCGCGCTGCGACGTCCGCCTCCTCCTCCTCCTCCTCCTCCTCCTCCTCCTCCTCCGCCTTCTCCTCCTCCTCCTCCTCCTCTTCCTCCTCCTCCACTAGTTCTGCTCTTGCTCCCGGCCTGCACCGCCTGCAGCCCAGGGCTCCGCCGGGAGGCTCTCTTGGCTATAGCGTCTGGCGTCGTCGTGTCGTCTTCGTTTCCTGGGACGGGGCCCCGCGCCGGACCTGAGGCCAGCTCGGCACTCGGTCTTCGGCAGTGCTCCAATGCTCTGGCAGCACCTTGCCCTCTTGCTCTTGACTGCCGGCGGGCGGTCACGCGACCAGCGAGGCGGCATGGGGAGGTTGACGGCTTTGGAAGCGGGCGCTCTGCAACGATCCGCGCGCGCAACCCTGCGATCCGACGTTGCAACATCTAGTCGGCATCCCGACCATAATTTTTCTGCTGCATATTTCGAACCAGATCGATCCGTGAGCGCCACGGGGCCCGAAGCAAGGCAAAATCACTCGTTGCTGAAAATTCCGACGCAACTGGAAGAAGATCTCACGGCATGAGCATACATGTTTAAAAAGGCCAGCGCGGATTTTTTCGACCGACGCTGGCCACCCCCTTGCGGTGCCTCCGGCGCCGCCACAGGCGCGCTGCGCGCGCCAGGGAGGGGGGGCCAGCGCCGATCCAAGAAATCTGTACGGACCTCCGAAAATTTATGTTCATGGGGTTTTTGCTTCCTCTAGCAACTTCTCGGCGGCGAGCCCAGGAAGGAAGTCAGAAGGGGCGGGCCTCCTTTTCAGAAGGCTCCGAAGGCCTCAGGCCTCCTAAGAAGTCTGCCAAGCAAGCCTTCTCCGAAGACGCACAGCTTCTGTGAAGGCCTGCCCCCTCTCACTTCGCCCCTGGGGCTCGCCGCCAAACGTGGCGCGCTCCCCAGACCTCCGGCGTCGTCATTTTCCAATGTCGTCGACCCCCAGAGGTCTGGAAACCTTCCACGGGACCAACTCTTCATCCCGAGTCGTCTTCTCACGCCCCCGAGGCCCGGCAGGGGCCCCCCCGAGGCCGAGAGCAGGGTCGAGCCTCCCGCCCGGATTCCTTGCACGACGCGAGAGGTGCCCTGCGCGACGGCGAGGCCCTGCGAGGCAACGCCGCCGCCCCGCAGGGCCTCGCCGTCCCCGGGGGCCCCCCCCGCGTGCGCCAGGAGCCCGGCGAGCTCCGGCCGCAGGCCGCGCGGCCGCAGCGCCGGGCGCCGCGGAGGCTGGCGGGGGCGACGACGACGGCGCCGGCGACGGCGCCGGCGACGGCGACGGCGTCGTCGACGACGACGACGACGATGATGACGAAGTCGACGACGACGACGACGACGACTTCGACGACGACGACGACGACGACGACGATAGCGACGACGACGACGACGACGACGACGACGACGACGACGACGACAGCGACGACCACGACGACCACGACTGAGGAGGAGGGGGGAGGGGGGGGCAATTTTTCTTCCCCTAGCAGCGCGGTGCGCCGAAGGGGTGGGCGAGCCATCTGAGCCTTGCCCAGACCCCCTCGCGCTGTGAACCGATCACGACGGGAGGCTTTTCGCTATTCTCAGCACCTGGGGGCCCCTACCGGGCGCTTCAGGAGCGTCAATACAGAATTCAGGATGAAGAATTGGTCCCAAAAAGCGGGTCCAGACCTTTGGGGGTCGACGTTATTAGAAAATCATGACGCTGGCGGTCTGGATTTGAATCCCCGTCAAGAGCCTCATGATCCTCAAGAACATTAATATGGCCTCGCGCGCCCCATTTTGAAAAAGCAGAGGCAGCTCATAATGTACTGCGTCTGTCAGGCTTCCCACCCCTCTTCAGTGCTGGCCAGCGCGGACGAGCAGATGAGCCGGTGGTGGCCACCCTCTTCGCCATCTTTCTATTCCCGTGTTGCACTGGTCTAACTTGCGCTTTGTTTGTTGGGCAGGAGTTTTGTCTCCCTAGCAGCATTCAGCTGGCATCGCCGATGCATTGGCGATGTGACTCGATGTGGAGACCGCCTTTCTCCACGCCGATATGGCCAATGCATCGCCGACGTGGCCGATTCATCTCCAACGTGGCCGATACATCGCCGATGAAGTGCTATCCTCCGACCCCATCTCGAAGACGCCTACGGCGAACCACCGCCGCCCCGTGCCTTTCGGAATCGCCCGTGTGGCCGAGCATTGTCGCAAGAGCTCTGCCAAGCTATCGGACCATGTGTTCCCCAAGCCGTTGTGGAAACCCTTCGGGGAACATTTTGGGGAGGACGGCGGGGAAGATCAGGAGGAGGAGGAGGAGGAGGAGGAGGGGGAGGGGGCATTTTGGACGCCTCAGGAGGCACTCTTGAGGTCTCCTGGGAGCTTCCTGGGAGCCTCTTGGGGGCATCTTGGGGGCCTTGGGCATCTGGGGGCGTTGGAGGGCTTCTCGGGGGGCATCTTTGGCCGTCTGAAGGCAGTCCTGGCCTGTCTGACGCCGTCGGGAGTTGTCTTGGGGGCCTCTTCTGGGCCGACGTGGAGCTATCTTGGGGTGCTCCAGGGCCGTCTTGTCCCATTTGGGGCGTATTGGAGGTCTCGGGGCCCTCTTGAGGCCGTCTTGGGGGCCTCTTGGGGCCGTCTTGGGGCCATCCTGGAGACGTCCTGGGCGATCTTGGGCGATCTTGGGGGGCTCTTGGGCTGTTTCGGGCCGTCGGAAGGCCGAAAAGAAGCGAGTGCCAAAATCCTGCGCGACCCCTTCGGAAAATCAATGGTTTTGGCATCTTCGTGCCTGCCTGGAGGCCCTCTTGGAGGCCTATTGGACCGTCTTGAGTCATCTTAGAGCCATCTTGGGGGTGGGCTCCTCCGTCGGAAGCCGTATTGGGGGGCCTCTCTGGGCTGACTTGGGGTCCTGCTGGGGTGCTCCAGGGCCGTCTTGGAGGCCATCGTGGGCGTTTTGGAGGCCCATTGGGCCGCCTTGGGGCCCTCTTGGGGCAGTCTTGGGGGATTCTTGGGCCGTTCTGGGGCCATCTTGGAAGCCTTTTGGGCGATCTTTGGGGGCTCTTGGGCCGTATCGGGCCGTCGGAAGGCCGAAACGAAGCCAATGCCCAAATCCTTCTAAATATTGAAAATCAATGATTTTGGCCTCTCCGTGCCCTCCTGGTGGACCTTTTGGAGGCCTCTTGGGCCGTCGGACGGGCCGAAGCCCCAGGGGGAGCTAGTTCTTCCGGAAGAACAACACAAAACCAAGCCGTACGAAGTCTAACACGCTGGGCACCCATGTGGCAAGACCTCAGGGGGCGGCGGATCCAGTGGTCTTCGGCCCATCCCGCAAGCGTGCCTGGGTTGTGGGTTAGAGGCCTCTTTGATGTTCGTTGTGATATCGTGGGAGGCCTCTCAGGGGTCTCTTGGAGGCCGAAAATGGGACAATTTTGCCCGTCGTGTTTTTTTCACGACCGGAGGGGCTCCTGGGGTTCTCGCCTTCCTCTGTGTGCCTCCACCTAGGCTGGGGGTACGTGTAGTCCAGGGAGGATACCTGTAGACCGGGGGGGGACCTGCAGTCCAGGAGAAGGTACTTGTGCAGTCGGGGAAGAGGCTACCTGGAGTCCGCGGGGCACTTGTATGATAGTCCTGGGGCCCAGATCTATTGAGGGACACAAAGCACCCACACCCTCGACGTAATGATTTTTTCATCACGTCGACCCCCAGAGGTCTCGGCCCCTTCCTCGGGACCGGTTTTTCATCCTGCTTCGTTTTTTGACGCGCCCGGGGCTTGGTAAAGGCCCCCAGAAGCCGAAAACAGGGAAAAACCTCCCGTCGTGATTTTTCCATGACCCCAGGTGGTCTGGGACTGAGGATCTCAGAGTGTATTGACCGCCTTCTCTCATCCACCTGGAGGAGGCGGATGAGGAGGATGAGGAGGAGGAGGAGGAGGAGGAGGAGGAGGAGTAGGAGGAGCGGGGGGGAGGAGGAGGGGAGGAGGAGGAGAGGAGGAGGAGGAGGAGGAGGAGGGAGGGGAGGAGGGAGGAGGAGGGAGGAGGAGGATGAGGAGGAGGAGGAGGAGGAGGAGGAGGAGGGAGGAGGAAGAGGAGGGAGGAGGAGGAGGAGGAGGAGGAGATGGAGTTGCAGGGACACAGGGCACAGTGCTGCCCGTCCCACCTTCCCCCTGGTGCTGCCGCGGCCCGCCTACGCCCGTCCGCTTCGCCTGCCGCGCGTGGGCGCGGCCAGGCTCCGCCGAGGAGCGCTCCCGGTCGCGCGGCCGCGAGCGGCAGGAGCGCCCCGCCGGCAGGCGCTGCCGGCGAGATCCCATGGCGGGAACCCTCCCCAGAGCCCCCATGAAAAAAATCGTGGCGGGCGGTTCTTCGCTACTTTCGGCCTCCGGAGGCCTCCACCGGGCCTCGGGACCGTCAAACAACGTTTCAGGACGAAGAGGCCGTCCCGGGGAAGGGGTCCAGATCTCCGGGGGTCGACGCGCTGAAAAAAAACCCGACGTCTGGGATCCGACGCCTCGAACAAAATTCAGACGCCGTCGTGCCGGGAACCCTAGACCCCACGTTTCTGCATCATGTTTCGAGCGGGATCGATCTGTGAGGGTCCCGGGGCCCGAGAGGAACAGCGAAAACGCCCCGGCTCGAAAAGATGGAGACGTCAGGATTCGGGTGTTGCTAGAAGGTCCCCTGGCCCAAGCTACCCCCAGGATCCTCGGTGTGGTCCAGACGGCCTCCAGGGCACCCCTCACGAGGCCCAGGGGGCCCCAGGGGCTCCAAAGTAATATAAAAAGCTGGGGGCACCTTGGGCCAGGGGCACATCTAGCAACACCCGAAGGATGGGGTCTGGGCCTGGAGATTCTGGCGTTCCCATTCACAGCGCGGGCGATTTCGCTCTCGATCTCGGGCGCCGGGGCGCTCACACATATGTGTATATATAATATTCGGCTTCACGTAATGGCGCAGGAAGATGGGGTGATGTTGTTGCGATGCTTCTGTTTTGTCTTGCAACGTTGCAGGCCTCCTAGATGGGGTCGGAGTAGGTGGGGTCGGAGGATCGCGCCGCGTCGCCGATGCATCGCCGATGCGGCTGGATGTGGAGCCCGATTTACTTCACGTCGACGTCGCCGATGCATCGCCCGCGTCGACGATACATCGTCGGTGCATCGCCGATGCATCGCCGATGCATCGCCCACGCATCGGATGCGGCACGATCCTCCGACCCCATCTACTCCGATCCCATCTAGAAGGCATCTAAACGTCGGATCTCAGGGACATCGCAGAGCGGATTTTGCCCGGAAAACAGTGGGATGGGCCCAGACTGTCCTGGAGAATGTCGTTCCGGATGTCGAAGTGGTGCGGCCTTTCTTGGGGCAGGAATGCAAACGAATTACAAAAAAGAGCCATGTGAAATTCAGTTCGTCTTTCGCTCGCCGTTCTGGGGTTTTGCATTGACAGAAATCCATGCAACCATCCTCTGCAACACGTCTGCAAGGTTGAGAGCCGAACGCTACCCTCGCCGGTCCACAGTTCTCGGATGCAACTCCTGGGAGGTCGATTGCTGATTTTACCCTGGTCCGAAATCCGACTTCCCGCCTTATCTGTTTGCACAATCTGGCCTAATCCTGCTGAGTCTGCGGTTTAATCCGGCGTAGCAGCCCCCTAAATGGGTCTTAATCTTTTCAGTCCTCCCGACGGAGACCTCCCAGCAATGGCTTCCTCAACGGCTTTCGCCATGGGGGAAGCCGGTCCTGAGGGAAGGGGGTTTTGAGGGTTTTCACAGTTTTGGGCTGCCCAGGGCCGTTCACGGGCCCGGGACCGTCAAAGAACGGCCTGGGATGAAAAACTCGCCCAGGGGCAGGGTCCAGGACCCCCTTCCCTCAGGACCAGGTTCCCCCATGTGAAGATTTCGGACGAAGGCATCTATACACCACCACCGTGCCAGGCCAGGGCCATCCTGGGCCCCAGGATGGTGTATAGACCCCCTTGGCAGCCTCGGCCAGGAGGGCGTATACACCATCCTGGGGCCCAGGATGGCCCTGCCTTGGCACGGTGGTGGTGTATAGATGCCTTCTGCGAAAGATTCAGGCAAATCGATGGGCGGCGGCGGTAGGATGCGGATTTCGTCGAACATGGGGCGAAATCCGATCCCTACCCCCGCCCCCCATGGGGTCAGGAGGAGCGATGGTCGGCGGGGTAGGGTTGGGACCTCGCCGCCTGCAAGCGCTGCTGGCGGAAGGGTGGCACTAACTATATAGGATGCAGCTCCTGTCAAGCATTGGTGAGGCATCTCGGCTTGCCGATGGGCCAACCAACAATGTGCGGTAAGAGCTCTTGTGGTACGTACAACATGTTATCATACCACTTCTGGCTGAGATCGTCTTGTCATCGTGCATCGGCTTCTGCGTTCTAAGATCATTCTTTGTTGTTCAGAGATTATTCTTTTGTTATCAGAGCATGTCTCGGAAGGCCTGTATGACTGCCGGGGTGGTAGGTACCTGCTCAATTCTCGGAAGTTCAATACAGAATCGGCGCTGGTATAGCCGCTCTCGAAAATCGTCCTAATCTGGCTCAATATGGCTTCATCTCGCCAAATCCGGCTTCATCCCAATTAATCAGTTTTGATCCCGGGCCGTATTTGGCCTAATTCGGTCTACTGGTCCCGTAATCAGATTCAACAGCTTTGAACTTGAATTTCTCTGACGAAGACCTCCCAGGAGTTGCCCACTAGCTGGCTGGCGAGGATCAGCGATTAACAGATGGGGCTCCGAGTGACGAGGCCCAAAGGACAGGAGGTGGGTCACAAGCTGAGCCTTCATTTCTTGAGGTTCTCGCCCGCAGGGCCCCATTCCGGCGGGCTCCATCCCTGAGCCGCTGTGAAGACGCCTGCGGCGAATCACCGCCGCACCATGCCTTCCTGGAAGTGCCGATGTGGCCACGCGTTGGACCAAGGCTTGGCCAAACTATTTGGCGGTGTGCTCCCCCAGCCGCTGTGGGAGCCTTCGCGGGAAGACTGCGGGAGGGAAAACGGAGAGAAAGAGAGAACGAGAGATAGAGGCAGAAACAGAAACAGCGAGAGAAAGAGAGAGAGAGAGAGAGAAACAGAAAGAGAGGAAGAGAGAGAGGAAGAGGGAGAGGGAGAGAGAGAGAGAGAGAGACATATATATATATATATAAAGAGAGAGAGAGAGAGGGAGAGAGAGAGAGGGAGAGGGAGAGGGAGAGAAACAGAGGTATACATATACATCTACAATTATATATATATATATATATATAGAGAGAGAGAGAGAGAGAGAGAGAAAAAAACAAGAGAGAGAGAGAGAGAAGGAGAGAGAGAGAAGAGGAGGAGGAGGAGGAGGAGAAGGAGGAGCAGGAGGAGGAGGAGGAGGAGGAGGAGGGGTTGGAGGCCTCTTGGGGACATTTTTGGGTCCTGCTGGGGGCCTCTTGGGAGCCTCGTTAGGGCATTTTGGGTGCTTCTTGGCAGCATCTTTGGGCATCTGGGGGGGGCGCCTGGCCGCCGCAGGCTCGTGGTCCAACGGTTTCAGACCGAACGTTGCGATTTTTCTGCTCGCCTACATGGTACAGTGGAGGCCCATGCCACAACAAAAACACCCTGCTTGCCTCCAGGGTGCCCTGTGTTTCTTGAGTTCCGAGGCTTTTGCTATGGAAAGCACAAGTTTCCCACACTAGAATCAATGGGCGTCCTGGGGTCTCAGGGTTGGGTTTCTTGTGGAAGGTTTCTTGTGGACTCGCCTCTATTATAGATCCATGCGCACATGGGGCGGGCGAGCCAGATGAGTCTCTAATGCGGCTCCCAATGTGGCCCCAGACGCTCCACCATCAAAAAGCATTCGAAACTCATAGTGTACGGTGTCCCTTATAGTTGTCTCACTCCTCCCCAGCGGTGGCCAGCGCAGATGAGCAGACAAGCAGGTCGTGGCTACCCTCCCAGACCAGGTCATGACAAAATCATGGCGGGAGGTTGTTTTCAGCTTTCGGCGTCTAGGGGCCCTTACTTGGCCCCGGGACCGTCAACAAACCGACTCGGGATGAACATGTGGTCCCGGGGAAGGGTCGAGACTTCTGGGGATCGACGTTACGGGAAGGAGAAACACATTACGTCGGAGGTTTGGGCCCTTCACTCCCTGGAAAGTATTGTGTGCACTGGTCTGACTTGCTCGCGGCGCCTGGTGGGCAGCCAGATTTCCTGACAGCGTTCGCTAGGGGATCCCAGTGCGGCGGGGGGCGCTTGTTCAGGAATGTGCCCTGAGGGCTTCCGACCCTGGAGGACTCCTGATCTGATGAGGGTGGCGGTGATATTCATGGCAAACCCATGGTTTGAGTTCTAGTGGGTTCCAGGCAGTGGATTCCTTCTCAAAGGGTTCCTTATCCAATATCCTTACCCTCCGTAGCCATTTTGGGCTCAAGGCCATGGCGCACCCGACGGCCGCATCTGGGCGCGAGGGGCGGTTCGCTAAACGCTAAAAAATTGCTCATTTCTGTCTTTGGAGATTTCTTTTGGGCGAGCCCGATTGCGGTCGGCGCCCGATCGGGGCGATGCGCACGCGGCTGTATTATATTACTGGAGACGCGCCAGGCGACGATGCTGCGCGAGATGGGAAGCCGACCGTGCGATGCCTGAGGTCTGGGGTCAAAGTTCCGGCGCGAGCTGCCACCGCGCGGCCGACCTTCGCAATTCCAACCTCGGGCCGTCGAGGGCCGCGGGCATCGATGGGGCCCCGGGCTATTTCGACATTCGCCAGTTCTACCAGAGGATCGATCACGACATCCTCAGGCACGCTGCTGAGGCGCAAGGCAGGAGCAGGACTGTTGCGAGCGCTACGCGCGGCCTACTCGGAGCCGAGGCGAGCCGCGGCCAGCAGGGCCGTGACCAACTAGGTCATCTCTGCGCGCGGGACAGGCATCGCTGGCTGCGCTTGCGCCGCCGCCACGGCGCGCCTCATGCTGCGCGACCTGCTGATGCACGGGCGCGCCTTGTTGCCTGTCGCGGGGGTGGCCGATGCGATCGACGGCGTGGCGGGCCACGGCGACGGGCCCCGCGGCGCCCCTGCCCGCCAGGTTTCGCGGGCGCGGTGGTCGCCGTGCTGGAGGACAAGAGGCTCCCGCTCAACTGGGGCAAGACGAAGGCGCTGGCGTCGTCGCAGGAGGTCCAGGAGGCCCCTGCTCGACCACCCGAGGTGGGCCCCCCCGCCCTCGTCCTTTGCGTCTGGCCACCGTGGGGGCGCCGCGGCGGGGTGGCGTCGCCGAGTGGCGAATCAGGTCGCCCGCGACCTCGGCGCGCCGAGGCAGGCGGCGCGGTTCGCCAGCATCTTCGGCCCTGGGCCACGCCAGTCGCACTTTGCGCGCGCAGGTCACGCGGCGAAGGCGCGCCGGCTTCGGTCGCGCCGGGCAGCCCCCCAGGCAGGACGAGGGCCCTTCGCGTCGCAGCGGCGAGGTGCGCCGTGCTACACGCACCGGGCTCGCCGCCCAGCTTCGGCCCACATTGCGCGGCGAGGGGCTGGGGGCAGGGCCCGCTGGTGGTCGCCGCGGGGATGGCAGCGCAGGCCAGCGCCAGCGCGCGCCGGTCGGGCCACGCCCCCCAAGTCGCGGTCAGGGCTTGCCTGCAGGAGAGCGCCCGCCCCTGCAGCTGCTCGCGGCCCTGGTCAGCGGTCAAGGACGCGGTCGCGGCGCTGGCCCCGGCCCTGGAGCGCATCCGGCGGCGCTTGGCGGCCAGCGAAGACAGCCTCGCCGACGAGAGCGGCTGCGGGTTTGACGCCCCGAGGTTCTCGCCCGCCCCCCCGACGAGATCTCGCGAGGCCGCCGGGAAGGCAGCGCCGCTGGAGGCTCGCGCCAGCTCGGCGGCCAATCAACGAGCTCCCCCCGCAGCCGAAGACGGGCGCGTGGGCGAAGCCCCCTTGCGGACGCCCCCGAAGATCGACGGCGCTCTCGCGCTGGTCCCCAGCGCGGATGGCCAGGCGCAAAGCGGACATCGACCCGAAATACCTGCTGTGCGGCGAGGGGGATGGCGCGTTTTTCCTTGGCTTTGTCACGGGAGCCGCCGCCGTCCATCGCGGGGACCCCAGCGGCGTGATCGGCTGCCTCGGGACTTGGGATCGGGCTCTTCGCGGACATGGCGCGCTTGCTGCAGTGGCCCCAATGGCAACCTCAGCGGGGGCGCCGGGCGCGAGGCTGGAAGGTGCTTCTCGCGGTGCCCGAGGGCAAACGCGTCTTCGCCGACGGCTCGCGCATCCACTCCGACTTCCCGCAGCTGTGACGCGCTGGGTTCGCAATGATCGCGCGCCCCCCTGACTGCGCGCAGGGGGGGGCGGGGGCTGCGTGGCCGCGGTGGCCTTCGTGGAGATCATCGGCAATAGCGCGCTGCGCATCGCCGGCGCGGGCGCCGAGAGGTCCGCAAGGTGCGCTGGGCAAGCCCGGGGGCCACAGGCAGTGAATGCGCGCCTCTGAGCCCGGGCGGCCGACGCAGCCGAAGGAGTGGCCGTCAGGCGCGTCCCCGCCCGCCGCTCGGAGGCAGCGGCCAGGCGCGGCGAGCTCGCCATGCTTGAGCTGCAAGGCAACAGGTTGGCGGGCGCGCGTGCCGAGGAGCGCGCCTGCCCCCGGGTGCCCGAGGACGACGACCGCGCCCCCGCGCTGGGGGGGCGCTTCGCCAGAGCCAGAGGCGCAGCCAGGTTCGCCGCGGAGGCGAAGGTGCGCATCGCCAACTCAGGCCTTCGGGACGCCTGGCCATTCGAGGCGCTCGAGGACATCGACCTGGGGCCCTGCGAGCTGCGCGGCCAAGCCATTGGCGGCGAGTCCTCTGCTGCTGGGGGGCCATGGGTCGCGGCCGCCACCGCTGGCGAGGTGGCGCTGGCGGCTGCGGCAGCGGCGAGTGCGAGCGCGGGGGGGGGGGGGGCGGGGGGGCTGCGAGTTGGACCGGCGCCGCAGGGCCCGCTCGGAGAGCAGCCTGGAAGTGGCGCGCGGCCGCCGCGCCTGCGCCCTGTCCTGAGGGGGCGGAGCCACAGGCTGTGCACGCCGTTTTTGCCAACGCCTCTGCCTCCCCCTCCGCTGCCGCGGCGCCCGGCCCCAGCGGCGCCGCGGCCAGGGGGGGCCCTGGTCGGTCCGAGGGCGCCAGATCACACGAGCTCGCGTTATCGGCCAGGAATCAGAAATGTCGCTCGCGCGCACTCGGTGCTGCGACCTACGCTGCCGGCAGCCTAGGCGCGCTTTTCGCGGCCTGGCCAAGCCCCGCCCTGGCGCCGAGGCGCGCTCCAAGAAGGGTTCGAGGGCGCGGGCCCGAACGGACGTCTCTGAGGACGTTGCGCTTGGGGGTGGCAAACGGCAGCTCAGCGCGCCGATGCCGCCCTCGGCTCAGACGCGCGCGCAAAGGGCGCGCGCCCTCAGCCCAGTCAGTCGGTTGGCGGCCGCCCCAGGCTCCGGCGACGCAGGCGGCCCAGCCGCTCTGGCCCGCGCCCGCCCCGCGGAGGCCGCCCCGAGCGCGTCGGGGCAACAGGGGCGGATTTGCTAGGAGTAAGCGGAGTTCTGGCCGCGCACGGCTTCGCCTCGCCTGAGGAGGCGATCGAGCGAGGCCGCAGCGCGGTCTAGAGGAGGGGCGAGAGAGCGGCCAGAGCGGCGCGGGATAGGAACGGCCCGTGAGTTCCTTTCCCCTGGCGGCGACGTGGTGACCCGCCGATAGAGCATGGGCCACCAGTTGGAATTCTTCTGATCATGCAAGTCCTCGGAAGCGGCAAGATAAAACATACCTCATCGCATGGGCAAGAACAAATAATCCCGCACGGGAGATGGGCAGCCCGAGGACGCCTGGCCCAGCAGCCCCGAGGGCGCCCAGTCTGGCAGCCGTTTCGCTTGAGAGCTCCTTGCGATTTATCATGGAATCGCGTTTCCATGTCAATGCCGAATGCATTCTTGGTTCGGGCGGGCAAGATCCGGGGCAAAACGCTCATTCTGGTGCACACGTCTGCTCATCATTCGAATTCAAATTCGCGGCGCTGGCTGCGCGGCGTATTGCGTAGCTCCCAAGATGCCCGACTGAGTCGGGCGCCTCTGGGCGCCTGCGGCAGCGCTGGTCGCCCGATCCTGCTCGTCCACCAAAAAAACACATGGCTGCTCTCGCCCCTGTCGCTTCTCGACCCGTTTCTTTACCATTTTCTATTATTATGGTGTTTTGCCGGGGTGCTGTTTTCAAATGTTTTGGAAGGCCGTGGATGGCAGCTTGCTCGGTCGGTTCTACAGCGACGTTCAGGCTTGATTGTAGTCTGTCGGCAGCCGGCAAGGTGCTGCGCCTTGACGGCCACTCTCGGGCGCTGCGGGAGGAGAGGGGGGCGCTAGGTGCATCTTTCGTGCATCTTCCAGGCCCTGAAGGGGCCCCCTGGGTTATGATGTTCCAGCCCATTTTAGCCTTGATCATCCGAAAGACATCCGGGCACACAAAAAGTACCGAAACTGGGGGGGGGTCACGCGTGGAGCCCTGGGAGGCGATGCTCGTTCGATGTTGTGTCGACACTGTCTTCTGGGTGTTCGAAATAATGTTTGGGATGTGGTCCTCAAGTACGATGGGAGCAACGTAGCACCTGGGGCCCGACAGGTGCTCGAGAGGTGCCCGCTGCTTCGCCCCGCTCCCCCCCAGTTTATCGCCCCTCCCCCCCTGACGCACCTCACCGTGCGCAGCCAAGGAGTCCTCGCGGTCCAGCGGGTCGCCTCGATGCCGGAGCCGCCGCCGACGTTCGCGCTGATTCTGCTGGCGCCGGCGCGCGCGCGCGCGTTCGTGGACGTCGGCGCGCACGCGCGCGCACCCGCACCAGCGCTGACCCAGCCCTCGCCAGGGCGTGGCTTCCAGCCCAGATCTAGGGACATCCGCGCGGACCTTCAAAAGTGTAAGGCTGTGCCCCTCTGCTCCCTCCCCGTGCTGGGGCAGGGGGGTTGTGACGGGGCGATGGCGGCGAAAGGCGGGCGACGGCGAAGGGGCGGGAGGACAGCGAGGAAGGGGGGGGGGCGGGTTGAGAGAGCGGCCAGGCACCGCCAGCCCCCACGCCGAGCATGCCTGCGTGCCAGGCTTGCCGCGGCCGCAGCACAGGGAGGAGGAGGTGGAGGAGGAGGAGGAGGAGGAGGAGGGGTAGGAAGAAGGGTAGGAGGAAGAGGAGGAGGAGGAGGAGGAGGAGGAGGAGGAGGAGGAGGAGGAGGAGGAGGAGAAGGAGGAGGAGGAGGAGGAGGAGGAGAGGGAGGAGGAAGCCTTGGGGCCGCGCGCGCGGAAAGGGCCTTGGCGGAACAGAGAGAGGCCGCGGGCACGACGCTGCGGTCGGTTTTTGTTCGCTCGCCCCGCTGCCTCGGGGCCCGCTTGCTCTGCTCCGCGGGCTGGGTGCAGCGAGCTGGCCCGCAGTGTACCCTCTTCGGGGAAGCGTAAGACTCGAGTATCAGGCGATCGCAAGCATGGATCAAGGGGGCGTGGATTAGCGACGGGTCCCGCTTCCATGGGAAATCGCTTGGAAATCGCTGATCTCCGCCGCCGAACGAGGCGGCCCTGGCCGCATTTTGGAAACGGCACCTCCCCCGATCCATGGATTTGGCGACCGCGCGCCAACTCCATGGATCGCTAATCCCTGTTTGCGCCCCCCGGGAACAAGCCGGAAGTCGGGTTCGCCTTCGCTTTTTGACGAGTCCATCCTGGATTTTGGCGGTCCAGATCTCGTGGGAGGGTTGCATCTGGAGCGTGCGTCAAATTTCAGACTGGGTCCCGTCAGGCCAACCCGAGTCCTCCGTACCCGAGTCTTGCATCACCCCGACTTTTGTAGCTTCGCCTGCTACCTGGGCGAAGCCAGCCGATCCAGAATCCAGAGAGTAGATATGTTGCGACCGTATTAACATATCGTATATGCTTCTGGGGCAGGCACACATACAATTGGCAAAAGGGGTAAAGGGGTCGGACTGTTTATGCAGATAGGAAGCAGCAAGGAAGACACAACCACATAGCAGGGGGTGCGCCACGGTGGTTTTCAGAGCACGTGTACGGAGCAGTCCGCCGAGTGAGCCGATACTTCTGATCAAGGCGGGGTGGCACAATCTCGAGCGTATCGTCCCGCTGCAGGCGCCGATCTGTTGAAGCAGCGCGGGTGGGCCGCAGGGCGCGTCGTCGGCGGGTCGCACGGGAGGGGGGGCGGGGGGGGTAGGCGGGCTCAGAGTGGTCGTGTCGTCTCCGAAGGCGGTGTGGCCGCAGGCGCGGGTCTTGCAGTTTGAGGGGTTTCGCCCCCTGCCGCCAGCCCGCCCGCCGTGTGATTGCCTGCATGGCTGGGTCGAGCGGGTAGGTTGGTTGCTCGTGTGGTTGGCTGGCTGGCTGGCTGTCTGGGCCGATGTTTGGCGGGTTGGTTGGCGAGCAAGGTGTGTGGCTGGAGCGTGCGGTTGGCAGGCGTGCCGGAAGGATCGCGCCGTCGATGGCGCGGAAGCAGCGTCTTGACATGCAGTGAAGGCCCATGCCTCCAGGGTGCCCAGGGCTTCGATGGTCTTGCCATGGGAAGCGTGACGCTCCCACACTCCCAAAATCGATGGACGTCCCGGGGTCTCAGCGTTGGGTCTCTTGTGGACTGGCCTCCACTGCAGTATCGTGGCCTCGAGAGCGCAACGCCGCAGATGGTCTGCCTTCCCATGGGGGTCGTGGGCTCGAGCGCGCGGGTAGCCACTGCTCTTGACGAGGGATCGCTGTGCCTGAAAGGCACGGGCCCGCATAGGTGCGCACCCTCGGCCCCCTGGAGCGCGGAGGGAGGATGCCCCGAGATGCCCCTGCGATCCGACGCTGCAAAAACTCCCCTGACCTTCCAGGAGGGCTAAAAAATAGCACGCGACGAAAAAACCTATCCCAGAGCTATTCTACGTCTTGGTTTTAGGCTGTTTCGTTTCGTTTTCTTGGTTCTTAGGTCTCCAGTGCTAAAAAATAGCTCTCTGGAAGGTCAGGGTCTGGAGCGGCGGGATGTCGGCGTTTTTTTCTGCCTGCGGGGGCCCTCGCCGGGCCTCGGCAGCGTCAAGCAGCGCTTTTCAGGACGAGAAGCCGGTCCCGGGGAAGCGGTCCAGACCTCCGGGGGCCCACGCATCGGACAGAGTCAGAGCATGTCTGGGTCCAGGATCGTGGCTTCGGCAGCGCGGATGGCGGGCGGGTCGCGGGTGGATAACGGGTGGGTCGGGCCGCGGGTCGGTCGCGGGGCCCGAGATGGCCTTCAGAAGGTCGTACGACGAGCGGAAATGCTGGGCTACACGCAAGTCGCGGTCCCTTCCACGAAGATCCTTTGAGTCATGTTTGGGCCCAACCAACTTCTACATGCCCTTGCCAGCTGGCGCTCTCAGGCTGTCTGGCGTGGTAGTGGAGGAAGGAGCTGCAGAAGCGTACTGCCCGTGAAGTTTTCAGATTCCGAGGCCGGCCTACCTAGCAGGTGCCTGTCAGGTATTTGGGAGAGTCGTGAATGTCATGTTTGGGAGCACTTTGAGGCAGCTATGTTAGCCTGAACGTTTCTCCAAAGGCTTTCTCAACGTGCGACCTCTTATCCACGGCGCGGATCGTGGGTAAGGCTGTGTCCTCGTCATTGCTTGTTGCCTGTAAAATTCAATCGGTCTCCTTCCAAGAATAGAGCTGCCAGCTCGTGCTCACAGTTGCTGTTTCCCCGCCTTTTGGCGCTCCAGCCAAGGCGATGCCCATTCTGGCGCGGAGCCCCGCTCCCAGAAGTCCAAAGCCGCGCCCACGGACGATTGTGCATCTCACGAGTCCTTCTCTGACGGCCCAAAATTGGAGGAAGGCTCCCAGAGGCCGAGAACGGCCATACACTTCCCGCCGTGACGGTTTGACGACACGAGCATGTCTAGGCCTGGGGGTCAACATCGATCCCCGGACTCGTTCTCGGGTGCGTTCTGGTCAGAATTTCGATGCGGATCCAGCCGTGGCCACAAGAATAGGGCGACGATATCTATACATATCCACTGCTCCTGGCCAGGCCCATCCTGGGCCCAGGAGCGGTGTATATGCCTCCCTGGCCAAGCCAGGAGGGCGTATACACAGCTCTTGGGCCCAGGATTGGCCTGGCCGGGAGCAGTGGATATGTATAGATATCGTCGCCCTAAAGAAGCCCCCTTCGAGACCCAGGGGGGGGTGTGGGGGGTGGGGTGGGGGGGTTTGGGGGTAGGGGGTGGGGGGTGGGGGGGGTGGGGGAATACACTGTGCAGAAGATCCCGAGGTTCGTTCACTGGTTTCTAGCATCACGCGCAGGCACTTCGCGCGCATCATCGAGGCCACTTCTCCTTTTTTTTCCCCGTGGGTTGGGGTTTTACCAGACCAGGCGCGCGCCGACGATTGCCCCACGCCATGCCAGCAGAGCTTGATGGGCCTTTTCCACCACCACTTACACAGGTAGGAGGAGGAGGAGGAGGAGGAGGAGGAGGAGGGAGGAGGATGAGGAGGTGGAGGGGAGGAGGAGCAGTTGAGCAAGAGCTGGAGCAGGGCAGGAGGAGGGCTAGGAGCAGCAGGAGCAGGCGCAGGAGAAGGGCGCAGGAGGGGAGGAGAAGGATGATGCTGCTGATGATGATGATGATGATGATGATGATGATGTGATGAGGAGGAGGAGGAGGAGGAGGAGGAGGTGGTGGAGGAGGGGAGGGGAGGTGGGGAGGAGGAGGAGGACCTCCTCATCCTCCCTTCTCGCCCGTCCTACATATTGTAGCGGTAGTGGAACATTTGCCCATCAGCAGGAACACCGCGACCAAGCGGAGATGGCGCCCCGCGCTCGCCAGGCCCGCAGCAGCCTGTTCGCCTACGCGGCCCTGGCCGCGCTCGCCGCCCAGCTGCTCGTGGAGCTGCACGTCGCCGACTTTGCCGACGGCGAGGCTCGATGAGAGCAAGAGACGTTTCAGTGGAGACCCATGCCAAGAAGCACCCTTCCTTCTCCTTCTCCTCCTCCTCCTCCTCCTCCTGGCCTCCTCCTCGCCATCATCCCCATCCTCCCCCTTCCTCTGCCTCTTGTCCTCCTCTCATATCCTCCTCATCCTCTCTCCTCCTCCTCTCTCCTCCCCTCGTCATCATACCTATGTTCATCACTCCTCCTCCTCCCCCCCTCTCCTCCTCCTCTCCTCTTCTCCTCCTCCCTCTCTCATCCCTCCTCCCCCCCTCCTCCTCTCTCCTCCTCCTCCTCTTGTCCTCCCTGTCCTCCTCCTCCTCCTCCTCCTCCTCCTCCTCCTCCTCCTCCTCATCCTCCTCCTGGTTGGGTTTCGATGGTTTCTGTCCTGGAAGGCGTGATACGCTCCCACACCACAGAAAAATCCATGGCCGACCTGGGGTCCCAGGATGGGGTTTCTCGTGGAAGGCCTCTTGAGGACCGGCCTCCTCTGTATGAGCATGATTTCAGCAGGCTCCGCGCGGAGTTCTCGTCTCGGCGCCTGGCCTCCCCCCTCGGCGGCCCCCGCCCCTGGCGCGCTCCGCGCGCGCTCGGGAGGGGGGCCCAGCGCCGACCCAAGAGATCCGCGCGGAGCTCCAGAGGTTTCTGCGCTCATGGCGTTCCTGGCTCCTCCAGGCCGGGACCCCCGACGGCATGATTCTTGCGCAGCGTCGACCCCCAGAGGTCTGGATCCTTTCCCCGGGACTAGCTCCAGCTTTTCATCCTGAGCCGCTTTGGGACGCTCCTGGGGCCCCGCAAGAGCCCCTGGAGGCCGAAAATAGCAGCAACAGCAACAGCAGCAACAACAACAACAGCGACGACGACGACGACTACGACGACGACGACAACGACAACAACAACAACAACAACAACAACAACAACAACAACAACAACAACACCAATACCAACACCAATACCAACACCACCAACAACACAACGTGCGAGAGCACGACTCCAGAGCGCCGGGAGAGCGCTTCCCAAATAAATCAAACTAAAATTCCAAGCGAGAGCACGTATCCTGCGTAAACTGCGAGGAAGTCACCGGCGGGAGCGGGGGTCCTGGCTATACTGTGAGAAAGTCTCAGGCGGGATACGTTGTTGTTTTTGTTGTTATTGTTGTTGTTGTTGTTGTTGTTGTTGCTGTTGTTGTTGATGTTGTTGTTGAACTCGCTTTTTTGAAGAGTAATTATTGTTGATCACCCCCACCGGTGCATACTGTTTTTTCTCAATCAAAGTCTGCCCCTCGACGCTCGCACCCTGTTTTTTGACAGGGAAAGTCTTGATGCTCCAACTGTGCCTCTGGCCCCCCGGATTACAACAATAACGGCTCCCGCTTGAGACTTCCTTCAAATTTAGTCCGGACCCCCGCTCCCGCCTGTGACTTCCTCGCAATTTACTCAGGATCGGTGTTCCCGCTTTTTGGCTTCCTCGCGATTTAGTCAGGACCCCCGCTCCCATCAGAGACTTCCTCACAATTCACTCAGGAGCGGCGCTCCCGCTTGAGACCTACTTGCAATTAAATCAAGACTTCTTTGCAATTTAATCAAAACCCCCGCTCCCGCCAGAGAACCCCGTACATATCATTCAGGAATTGCGCTCTCGCCTGTGACTTCCATGCAATTTATTCAAAAATCGCGCTTGCGACGCTCAGGCAACACGCTGCGCCAAGGACGCCGTCACATTTTACTCGAGAGTCGCGCTCTCGCCATACCCAGGCATCCCGCTTGAAGGTCCAACCCGCCCGACCCGCCCGTCAGGG